GCGGGGGGGGGGGCAGGAGGGGAAACGGGGAGAAGGTTAACGAACACGCGGGAGCCGGAGGAGGGGGAGGAGATATAGGTGGAGGAGGAGAAGCGGGAGGAGCAGGAGGACGAGCGGGAGAAGGAGCGGCAGGAGGAACGGGGGAAAGAGCAGGGGAAGCAGCGGGAGAAGGAGCGGCAGGAGGAGATATAGGTGGAGGAGGAGAAGTGGGAGGAGCAGGAGGACAAGCGGGAGAAGGAGCGGCAGGAGGAACGGGGGAAAGAGCAGCGGAAGCAGCGGGRGAAGGAGAAGCAATAGGGGCGAGAGCGGGAGAAGGAGGAGGAGGAGGAGTGGGAGGAGCAGCAGGAGAACGAGCGGAAGCGGGGCTATGGCGGGATCTTTGTCACGTTGTTTGGCGGAGGAGGAGGGGGAGGAGGAGGAGTGCCTTTTTTCACAATCAAACACAAATGCTCTTTTTTTCAATCGCGCGTGCTTGCACCACCACGCCTCTCATCGCCGCGGCGGGCCCACTTGTTGTAAGTAAAAGGAAGTTTCGTTTTTACCTCTTTCCTTTTTGGCTTCTCAATTTCATTGGCCGGTTCCTCCTTCCTGGCGGGTTCCACTTTCTTTTCCTCTGTCTTCTCGGATTCCTTCTTATGCGTTCCGGGTTTTTCCGGCGTGACTTGCTTTATTCCATCCTTCAGCAATTTCTCTCGAGGTTCTTTCTTTTCTTCTCCACCCTTGGTCACCTCCTCATACACCACCTTCTCTTTCCCTTTGATCAGTCTGGTCATTGTTTCAATCGCGGCGGTGTTACTATCAATCTTCAATTCGAGGTGCGCGAGGTAAGCCATGAGATTGTGAAGAACGGATGCAAGGTCCATTTCTGTTTCTTCAAAGTGGAATTTCTGTTTTATTTCTTCCACTTTTCTATTTTGTTGTTCTCTTTCTATTTTAATCCTCCGATACTCTTCCGTCCTTCTTTTCTCTTCAGTCAACGCATCTTCCAGTTGGCGGATGTTCTGCATCATAATCTCTTCAGACAATGGTGCTTCTTCCTTCTTCTCACTTTGCTCCCCTTGTTCTTCTTTTTTGATTCCGCTATTGGAGATCTGTGTCAGTTGATCAATAACAATCTTATCCAGGAGCCTGTCGGCTCTGAATAAAGACTTGCTGAACATGAGCGCTGGCCTCCATCATCTGAACAGCCGTGTCAGCCTTCTCAAGTTCGCTTTCTGCTGCTCGCAGATCGAACTGGCTGCGCACTTGCTGTTCGACCTCGGCACCAGCGTCATGTAGGTCAATGATCAACTGCTGCAGACGGCCCAGCATATCTTGCCGTCTGCTATCAATCTGTCCCCGAGTTCTAAGCGCACCTCCTTCCTCGTCAGCGAACAAGTTGGATTCGTTTTTTGGGTGTGCCGGGAGGGGGGGGGGAGGGGGAAGGGGGGGTTGGAAGGGAGTTGAAGCAGCGACGGAAAAAAAAAAATATATATATATATATATAAATATATATTAAACGGCTATGGCTAACGGAGGAGGAGGAGAAGAAGAGGAGGAGGAGGAAGAAGAAGAAGAAGATGCCGAAGAAGAGGGAGGAGAGGAGGAGGAGGAGGAGGAGGAGGAGGAAGAAGAAGAAGAAGAACGCAAGCTGATGGCTAAGAGGAGGAGCACTAGAAGAGGAGGAGGAGGTGGAAGAAGAAGAAGAAGAAGAAGCAGAGGACGGTTGTGGCTACCGGGCGAGGAGAGTGACCACGAAGAAGAAGAAGAAGAAGAAGAAGAAGAAGAAGAGGAAGAAACGAACCTGGGGGCGTGATGGAGTGGCTCGTAGGCGGGGGGCGTGATGGCACAGCTGACAGGTGGAGGCGACGGTGGCGCTGCTGCACCCCGCGGAGACCTACCGACAATGGCGCGGCTGCACCGAGTGATGGTGCGGCTGGCTGGCGGTGGCGACGATGGCACGGCTGGCTGTCGGAGGCGACGACGGAGTGGCTGCGCAGAGTGGAGGTGAGCGGGGTTAAAAACGCGATGCGTTTTCTCCCACTGCGCGATTCCGTTTCCCGCCCGAACTGTTTCAAAAGAATGGCCAATCTTTGCCGCTGATCTGCGACGATTGGCGGCCAAGATTGGCCACTTTTTAGACTTCAAAAATCTGGGCCTACGGGACGCGGTAATGAAATTGCGGGGCAGGGACCGCCCCCACGAGGCCTCCGTAATACATATGCGCCGCTAAAACAAAAAATTCAGGCCCCAGCGAAAATGCGCTGGGGCCGACCGGGAGGGAACCGGCCCGGGCCACCGGCCGGTCCAACAGGGAGGACCGCGGATGGGGTAGGGGTCCTCGGTCCATCCGGGGACCAGCCCTGAATTAAAGACAAAAATAAATTCGGAAATTCCATGGCACACACAACTTCTACAGCAAGAAGTAGTCAAAACAGATGAAGAAACAGATTTCAATTAATTTCTAATCTAACTTTGCTGTCTAATCTATGTGTGATGCCGTTCTACAGTTTACAGGTACCGCGGCCACGGCCAGTGTGATCAAGACAACAGCACACTTGTGAGTACACACAGCATCCACAGAACAACCACAGGTAAGTGAATCAGCCAACACAACAGCACATTCAATGTTTAGCTCTCCTTTCCTACGGCCGTACCATCTGCAGAAACAATGCAACCAATCAAGGCCAGCATGCGACACTACAGCAAAACGTGAAGCCGTACCGTCTGCCAGCACTTCACCCTCAGCAGCCTGTATTCATGCCACGTGTCACCCTTGGATGCCAACGCAGCAGTTCTGCCACGTCAGCGTCAAGGACCAGAAAGGTCTACAAGAAGGGGTGCCACGTCAGCAGTGCAGGTCTGCAACTCACACCACACTGGTATGCCACATCAGATGCAGCGCTTCAACAGCATACAATCACAACACAGGTACGTGCCACGCCATACTTTGCCCAGCCACAATAGCATGCCACATAAGCAATGCGCCACATCAGCAGTACCGATCTCTCTCTGTACCAGCGCCACGTCAGCCTGTTGCCAACGAAGCTCTCGCTGGTATCTTGAAGTCTTCAAGGCAGCCACGTCATCATCTTCAAGGGACAGCTGCTCGCACGTGCAATACTACAATGTCTAGACTTGCGGAATTACCACGCGCGTTGATAAACGTGTTTCGTTTTGCACATGGGACACCTCCCACTTACGTGGGTGCCACGTCAACACCTGACAGCAGATTGCGATGAAGGAGATGCTCCGATACCAAATTGTAATGAGCCCAGTCTGGCAGATACTCATCAGTCGTCAAACACCAGTAGTCTCAGTATCTGCAGCATGGTCTCCAATTATCGTGAAATGATATCTGAAATAGTATCTCATTACCATTAGACGAAGAGAGTGGAGGGAGATCAGACAGAGGAGAAGGTGGAAGAAATGATCAAAGATCACACAAGAGTAATCCCGTCAAACCCCACTCCTTCTCAGGGCTTCTTCCCTTCCCGCGTCAACAACCAGTATATGATAACAAGTATAGAAATGCTGATCACACAATAGTGCCACGTGGCACTCTTATCTCGTGAAGAACATGCAGACACGGCAGATTACAGTGATGCAACCTCAGGTGAGTACCCGATCCCAATCATCCACAGATCCCGATCTTCCTCCTCACAACCAGTCACCTCATGTAGACATCGTGGGCAATGCCACGTCAGCAGTCGAGACAGGTGGCATGCGCCACATCATCACGCAATGTAGACCAGAGGCAGGGCCACATCATCATGCAATGTAGACCAGAGGCAGCGCCACATCATCATGCAATGTAGACCAGCGGCAGCGCCATGTCATCCAATGTAGACCAGAGGCCGCGCCACATCATCATACAATGTAGACCAGATGCAGCGCCACATCAGCATAGCCTGGCTCACAGAACAAGAAGCGCCAGCATGCTGCCTCCACCTCGTGCCGTCGTCCGCAGCGCCGGTGCACAGCCAGCCTCTAGCCAGCATCGCGCCGGCATAAATGCCAGCATCTAGTCAAAGTCGAGCCAGCGTCAAAGCAGCATAGCAAGACTGAATGCTGACTACCTCGAGGCCGGCTTTAAGTAGCATTTGACGAGGCTGTCTGGCCTCGAGTCCGGTTCCCTCAGTCGTCCAGATTGCCTCACAGCCGAGGGCCCCGATTGTGTACGGTTGCAGACTTCCCCTTGGACCTGATGCTGTCTGGGTACCTGCATACAAACAAGTGTGTGCTTGACCAGCGGCCCGGGCTGGGTACCTTTGGACTTTGGCTGTTGGTGTCACGAGCACGTCCAGGCCCTGGATTTTCGTGTGGGGTCTTTTTCCCCCGTTTTGGCCTGGGCTGAGGGCAGCCAAGTAGGCCCTCATACATTCAATGAGACATATGGCATGGGTTATTGCAGGGCCAGTCAGCTCAATGATGATATTTCAATCGCCGCCATTTGTGTAAAAGAAAGAAAGAAGAAGAAAAAAGAACAGCCACGTGGCTGTGCCGCATGGAGCGATCTTTTTTCCTATTTTCTCCCATTTTTTCTGTTTTTTTTTTTTTTTTTT